GAATCTCCGGTCGGCCAGGTCGGCAACGGATGGAGGTGAGTGATTTTTCTGCCCTCTCTCCCGCTCGACTTACCTTCCTTACTCCATCTCTTTGCCTTTCCTATCCTCTCGACCGCGTGTACGGGATGAACGCGAAAATAAATCAGTATAAGTGACAATAACGGTTATATATAGCTTGAAGCGGTAATTAATGTACAGCGCTTTCTCTCTTGGTCAAGGATATCACTCACACACATACACACACAAATGCCAAAATAAAAATAAACGTCATTTGTTGATAACATTTCGAGAAATTAATAAACGTTTGAGAAAAGTGAGAGGAATTGATTTACAAAATTGTTGTAATTTTACAACCTTATAGGAATACAAATAGAGAAGGACAATTATATTTTTTATTTAATTTGAAATAGACACTTAACTAGTATCTATTAGCATCAGATTTTAATTCGAAAATTATCTAAAAAAATATTTTTAGTTGGAGGTCAGAAAATTATGAGAGAACATCTCAAATAGCATCCATTTGAAAATTTTTACTGAGAGTAAAGTAATAATATTTAACACTTTTCGAAGAAATTTTTAACCGATGTATTTAACATTCTCGAGAAAATTTTGAACCGACTTGAGTCGTGATGAAAACTATCAGCCAATCTCGAAGAATGCAAGATTGATCCTTAAGATTTGCTAGAGTAGGCCACATGAAAAGATACTTTCCAAAGCTATAACCTTCGACCTCCCGGTGCGAAAATTCTCCAAGGATGCTATGCGTAGTCGCTATTGATTCCGGAGACTGTGCCGCCCTTACGCACCCTCGCGGTCTTTCTCTTCCCTGCTCCAAGCACGTCGCTCGTTGCCTTTTCCTCAGCTCCTCCCTCGGCATATTTCTCCCTTGTTTCTGTATCAGTATCTTCTTCCATCCACCCACGCTGCTTGTCTTCCCCGGAGCAGCCTCATCTCCGAAATATCCCGGTCGCTTCTCCTTGTCGTGCTTACACCGATCCACGCTGAAGGGGTTAAAACTATCCCTAGCTTCCAGCTGCTTCCGCGTTCGTTCGAATGATGAAGCCTCGTTCGCTATCGTAAAATCACGCGAAGACCGCATCTAATCACCGGAAATCTAATCGCCGATATCGAGTAGATTAACTCTTTCAGGGATGAAAGCGAAATTATTCCTAGAATCACAATATATTTGTTATGCGATAAACAAATATATCTTACATATTTAATATTTTAATACTTTTTAGATCATATCTTTATCATAAACATAATTTAAAAAATTTATATTTTTATAACAAATAATCTTTACTTTCTGAAAGGAATAAACGTGAAAGAAATTGGTGAAAAGAGGAGTAGATATCACAAAATATAAGAAAGTTTTAAAAATCTAAAACTTTCTTGATTTTTACATATTTAAAAAATTATTATCTATAATATCGGTAAAAAAAATTAAGTAAAAAAAATAAAAGAACGATGTAATTGCGAAAAATAAATTTCTCTAATATCTATATAATATAATATTGAAAAAATATGTAATATATAACATAACATAATATATATTGAGCTACATTTCTTAACTAGAGCTTATAAAGTCAGTTAAAATTTACGCAGCAATTAAACATACTCAGAAAATTTGTGTGAAATGCACATGTGTATTTTCTTAGATTTTCAGGCAGGAATATTTAGTCATCGAACATACATGAATTCGAAACTCTGCATTTACGTTTAAAAAAAACTATTATCTACGATTGTAATGCGTTTTTTGAGAAATTTCGGGTAATCGCGTGCTTTGAGAAGTTTCTCTTCGAAAAATTCGAAGAAGACAGTTGAACGGAGCGTTATGTTAGAGACTGTGCGCGCGCAAACACAGAATGCTTCCCTTTCATTTACATCCGCCGGACGATCGACCTTGAGCAGACCTGTCGAAATCGAAGAGTCCTGGTGAAGGCCAGCCCGAAATCCATTAATTTTTATGCGCCCGGAAACCATTTGCCAATCCCACGCGCACTTGGGCCGCACGCTCCACTGATAGCGGTATTTACGAGCCATGCAACTATTAATTATCTTTAAACGTTACCTGAACCTATCCCAACCCCGTTCCAATTACCGTCAGGAACAAAGAAGCCGATATGCAGTTCTCGGTAACGATAGTCGGGAATTTTATTTGTCACTCACATTCGCACGCGCTACTCAACCACTCTTTACTTAACGTTTACGCGTAATTAACAATATGATTTGTATTGCAAGTGTAACTACAGTTATCGTTACGTGTAACATGTTGCATATTGTATAAGATCGAGACGATTCTGAAACGTGGCGAAAGATTTCGCGGCACGTGGCTGCATATTTCTGAAGTGAGGCTAAAACAGAAAGAAATCGCAAACAGCGAAAGACGCTTGTTTTCTGGGGAGCCATCGTGGATTCACGCTCGACCGAGGGGATAATCGATTGGCCATTCAGCGGAATTAGTTGATCGGGACAAGGTGGTCGATACCTATATGTTCTGGCTCACGGTACAGAAACGCGCGTCAACACGTGGTACAGAGACTTATAGACAAGGGAGACACAAAGGATATAAAAAAAAAGTTTCTTCTCCGTTTCTCTCTTCCTCTGTCTCTTCCTTTTCCTTCTTTAAACTCGCTTCAAGTCGAGTTGATTCATTTCTCGCCGAAGAAACACATAATCGATGTCGCGTATCATTAGCCGTTATTTGTCAGGTTTATCATATCGCTCGAACAAGTAAACGCAATTTGGAAGATGAGAGATCATTAAGAGAGAAACGCTATCAAAAGTTGCGATCGATGTTGCCGTCACAGGCCTCGTTTCTCGCCGTCTCTCGTTGAGAAGCTTCTTGAAGAGAAAGTGATGATGTAATCCATCGCGCATTTTTTTCCGCGGCAACTATCGTTGCCGCAAGTTTAAGCGGAAGTTACAAAAACTTCACTCGCCGATCGTCTCCAGATGCGCCGCACCGTGAATGATAAATTTTACTTCAAGGATAACACCCTCGTCATTGACGAAGATAATGACCGGCGGATCGAGCAGGAACGACAGAAGTACCCGTCGACCTGCACCCATATACCTGCGGGCGCTCACAAAAGAGAGGACGAGTCCTTCCTTTTCTCTACCTGGAACGAACAAAGAGACCCCGTAACGGAATCAACCCTTGGCGAACCGATAATCCTGACAGGCATATATGTTGGGCCGATTTTTCGCAAACTCGGTGCCAACCTACGAACCTATACGGACTTCGACTGTAGTTGCCGCCAACAGCAATTCCAGCGTTAATGAATCGAACATCCATTTCGCGAAACAATGGATGACAGTACTTCAAGTCACCCGGTAGAGCTATGCGACGCAACCCCCGGCAGGGGGTCGATCGGCCGAAGGGCCCTTCAGCAGTCGACGATCAAAGAGCGCGTTATTGCGTTCCCCGCGAGATTCGGCAAGTCGAAATTCAGATTGCCATTGTGCGACAGAGAGAAAAGAGTTTGGAGTAACACGTGAAAACGAGTTGGACAAAACAGTAGGAAAAGACGTAGAGACGACTCGATCCTCGAAGGTTTCAACCAGCGCTGAGAAACTTCTCGACTTTCGATGTGGCTTCGGGCACTAGCGAAACTCTTGAAAGTGATTCCAACATTTATAACGGTAACGACGCAGCTATCAAAATCCTACAAGTACGTCAAAACTAAGTACATACTTATGTTCTGCTGAAGTTAGGGAAAGTTATTCTTGGAGAACTAAACTTCAAAGCTGATATCCATCGACAGTTATTTACGATTTTATATTTAGCAAAAAATTTTTATCAACAATATCTATTTTTAGAATATGAGGTTGGATTTTGATGTTTTATGGTAAAATAATAAATTTTTCGATATACATGGTAGTTAAAAATAACAAGATATTATTTAACTCAAGGTATTGGTTTAAATTTCATCCTTTAACATTTAACAGTGTGTAAGAGTCGATTCTCGATAGCGAGATGAATTCAGAACATATCGTTAACATTTTATTACAGTTGCAGTCGAGAGTTAATATGTCATTCTTGAACGCAGCACACCGTGTATTCAAATCCTAGTATTCATCAGTGGTCGCCTTCACTCGCGGTCAATGACGCGCGTCTTCTGCTATCTACGCACTATTCGGTACGGCGCGTATCGACCCCGATTACTCCGGCAAGCCACCTCGAATTGTCGCCGTCGAACACGACCGACTCATTCCACTCGTTCGTACAAAGGAATACACGAGAAGTACGTTGGACCGTCGTGCGCACAAACTGAACCAGTTCTGAGAGAGACTTAAGATAATTTGATAATTAATTTAACAACAAATTACATCTTTCTCGTTCGCTAATTGCGTACGATCGGAAAACTCGTACGAATATAAAGGGGAGAGACGACGCGCGCGAATCCCCGCGCTTTTCCGAGAGAGCAGCGAGAGAAAGAGAAAAAGAGAGAGAGAGAGAGAGAACCATCGGCGTGGAGGCGATAGTGTGTATATACTTCCTTCACGCACGCGTCGTAAACCGCCTCCTCAACGAACGGTGCGCCTTCGGTAGTGGGGTACACCCGGCGCGTAAAGGGGAAGCTAGACCTGGTGGGGACAGATTGGGCGCGGCCTATGACGGGACCGCGCCGCGCGTGTTATAAAAATATAATATCAGTGTTACCTAGCGCTCTTTCTCACTAGATATCCCGTCCGATATTTGGCCGCACCGAATACGTGCGTGAACTCCGGTCCCTCCGCGTATCGTTGCACGCGTGTAACACGCGCACCGGCGAACGGCGTAGCGTTCTACTCCGGTATTCATTGATCGCCGCGATCGAATCTTGCTCCGGCGAACGGAGAAAAGAGTGGAGACGTGCCAGGGAGTGGGAAGGAGAGAGAAAGAGAGAGAGAGAGAGGGGAGAGGAGAAGAGAGGGAGGGAGGGGACACCCCCACGTATCGAGCAGCGCCATTGACAGCGCGGTGCTGCGTGGAGCCGCGAGCCGAATAGCAGATACCACCGATACCGGATCCCGAGGCGCACGTAATCGGCGTGACACCGGCGTGGCGCGGCGCCGAGAGAGAGAGAATTTGGCGGTCACGATCCTGCGCACCCCACGCGACCACCGATTGATCCACGTGCGAAGACAGTGACAAAAGTACGCGCGTGCTACGTGTGTGCGTCCGATACTCCGCTAACGCCGCCCGTCATTGTCGAGTCCGGCGATCGGACGGCAGCCGCGCAGCCCGGGATCGTCCCGGAATCGTCCTCGACGGACGGCCAATCGCATTCGAAGCCGGTCTACTACACTCGGTTGGTAAAAAAGCCCGAGCGGCTCCGATACGTCGAGGGAATTCCTACGTCGGCCCAGAACGAGGGGGAGGGAGAAAGGGAGAGAGAGCGAGGGAGAAAAACGGAGTGAGACACCGGAGCGGCCCGTTCCGAGGGAGAGAGGGTAGCGCCTGAAGAGAGAAAGACGCAGGAAGCGGACGCGCGCGGCGCGTTGCGGGGAAAAGAGATAGAGAGAACGCAGATAGAGCGTAGGGAAGGGAAGGGGACGGCTCGCTTAGAAGGCTAGGTATCGGGAGACGACGGGGAAAGCTAGTGCTTCACCACCCGCACGAGTTTCCCTTGGACATTCGTCCGTAGCAATTCGCGGCGTGTTTTCTTCCCTCTCCGAGTGCGAGTGAACTACGGTTGGACGGTGCCCGTCGTCATCAGTTATCCTCGTCGTCGTTGCCGGTCGTTATCGTCGTTACCGCCATCGTCATTATCATCATCGCCGTCGCCGCCGTCGCCGTCGCCGCTGTCGTCGTCGTCGTCGTCGTCCGTCGCCGTCGTCGTCGTCGTCGTCGACTTGATACAATCGTCATTTATCCGTGACGTAAATCGCGTCGTCACAGAGTCTCCTAAGAAGGAGGGAACGGCGTGCTCGAAGGAGGGAGTAAAACGCGGGACGGAAGTCGGAAGAGAGCCAAAGAGGAAAGGAAGAGGGAGAGAGAGTGAGGAAGTGCGTGCGTCGTAATCGGCGAGGAGGAGAGATTACGGCAACCCGAAATCATTCGCCGAGATATATCGTGTGTGTCGCCACGACACGTAAGCCGTGCCGCTCCTCATTCCGGAGCGGATCTGTCGAGGAGGGCGTTAAGGGCGAAAGTGCACCGGTACCTTTTTTTCTACGCTTGTCTTCCCTCCCTCTCTCTCCGCACCTCGGTGGCGCGGGAGATCAGCCAGTGTTTTAGTGCCAGTGTTTAAAGTCTACCTCAGTCGGCGGCTTGCGGCCGATAAAGCAGTTTAACAAAAGCATATTTAACAGAGAGAGAAAAAGAAAATTAATACGTGTGTACATATATATATATATACAAGGAGACAAGTGTAAGCGCGTAATCGTCGCTTCATTTTGTGCGCGAGTTTTGCAACAGAGAGCAAAGTTATTATCGTAAACATGTCTTTGGATAAGTTCGCGGAAGGCGGTATGCTGCAGAAGGAGATGGAGCGTCTGGAGATCGAGGAGAAGAACGGTGATAGTCCGAGGTAAAACTAAGAACCACGTAGCGTTATTTCCCGTTGGTCGCCAATTAACCAACAGGTGTTAATTTGCGATCTTAATTATTTCATTAGTAGATTACATACGTTCATTGAGATATAATTTAAAATTATTATCTGTTCTGTATGTTCTGAGAAGAATTTTATTCTTGAAAGAGAAAAAAGAAACGGAATGCGCGTTACAAATTAAAATAAAATTTTGAAATATTATCTTGAGACGAAACACTGAATATTTTCGAGACATTTTACGATCTGCTTTCGATCGTACGATTCAGGCATTTCTCACGTACATATCAACAACTTTACAAGCTTGCGAGAGGACTTGTGAGAGCAATAACACAAACATGAAACGAATATTGGAGGTCGTTCAAGAATGGTTAGTCATTTCGATTAGGAGTAGTCGATAATTTCGTCGACAACAGACGTAATGTATTATTGTCGTCCGTTATGAGTACATGGCACACGAAATTTCAATGTGATTTCGACAGAAATACACGAAAGTTTAGAATACACTTAACTCCGGTGGAAAACTCCGGTTAATCCAACGCGGTTCAATGCGAGATTTTGAGAGGACTACATTAGCGATTCGCGATTGTCGGGGATACTGGCACGCAAATCAACGCGAAGTCAAGACCATACATTTCCAATTGGTCGATTACGTCAGGCCGCGATTGTTTGCGAATTCACTTTTTAAGATGCGTGGCGATTATGTAATATGATGAGGTAAATTCCGGATATCGGTCGCTTCCGCCGTCGTCAATTAAGTTCTCATCCTTACAGCTCTTTCACGACTAAGGTATAGGTTCTTCAGGTTTATTTGCGAAGAATATAGGATGACATAGGGAGAATTCGGTGGGACACACTTAATTTAATAAATTAATTATTAAATAAATACGCACACAGTGTGAGAAACAAGAATGGTTAACATTTCGTACTAGTCAAGCTATAAAAATTATCTTTTTTTGATAAATAACCGATATTATATATTTTTATATATTTTTTAATATTCACATATTGAATGCTCCCACTTCGGTATCTATACTTAGAGAGAGATCGTCCATTAAAAAGAATCCTGATCGTTTAAACACCAAGAACGAAAGTTGTTTCTTCGATGTTGTCGCTCACGGCGAGCTTTCATCTGTGCGGAGCGTTTCAAATATATACCTGCCTGCCGATTTACACGCCGCGAGACAAATATAATGGCACGCAGACGGCGAAATTGTATCGCGATTTCGTCTCGACGAAGTTGAGTGTCGTCTAATCTCACGGCCGGCCAAGAATTACGCTCGCAGAGTCAACAACCTCCTCGATAAATATCGCCGATAACGTAAATCAAATTACGCACGCACGCACTCCGTGCGCGGGCGTATCTCGTCATTTACACCATGCCTCCTCGGCGGCATTCGCGCTTTCGTGCCGCTGAATGGTCGCGATCGACTTCGAGTGACGGGAGATAAAAGCCGTTTCCATATTACTGAACGTGATACGCGATCAGATTCGCAATAATATCGCGCGAATTCACGTAGTGGATTTATGTAGTTATAATTTAAAAAGAAAAAGGTTAAATATCATTTAAACTCATAAATGAATTGATGTCAGAAGTGACGAGAGCTGTAAAGCCATTAGACGAATACGTCCGGACAGGAATTACTATTTAATGAAGTTGTTTTAACTTTCTCGCATCACGGAGAACCATCATAGCGGCTTTCGTTGTACACTATATATACATATATGTATATAATATATGTATGCATTTATCTGACATATATATGTATATTAAAGCCGTTATAGTTACCGGAAACATACACCGTTCGAAGGGCCACTGTAGTGGCACGTCGAAAATCTTCTCTGTGTTTGTGAAGACATTACAATGACTCACCTAGTTCACATTAAGTCACTAAACAAACTCGTTAAAAGTAGTCTCTCTGCCTATTTACGATAATTTGTATAAATATGTCTTATGATAAAGACACGTCATTCAACTTTCCTTTCGATTTCCAGGAAAGAAAAACTTTTTAAATAGTAAAGTTAGAGGTAGTTATTTTTTCTATGGTAGTTTTGTTCGGTTCCATCGTGGCGAGAAGGTTAACAACTCCGAATGAGAGCAGCCAATGTCGTTCCGTGACTTGAAGATAAAATATTGAATATCTCATAACGTTCTTTTTTCTTCACAGTCGCAGAGAGAGATTGGTTGTTGCGTATACATTATACGCGTATATATTTCGCGCATATATCATCCATATTATACATATTAAAATAAATTATTAAAAAATTGATACAGTACAAAAAATTACAAAACCACAAATTGTATAGTGTTTAAAAATTCAGTAGGTACTTGAATTATGATCTGATATATTTAGGGAAGATTAACGAATTTTATCGAATTAAAATTTTGTCATCGAAATATTTAATAATAAATCCGAATAAATCTAAATACATCAATTATTGTTATATATAGTTGTCAATTATTGTTGTATATAGTAGGTCTATTAATATTGTTGTTATTATTGAGTTCTCGTGTAAAAAATTTTATCGTGGGAAATTAGGATCAATAGAAAGTAATATTTAAAAAATCGATGCAATCAATAATCAGCCAGTTTCCTTCTCAGCTAAAACCAACTCTGGTCTTGGCGTTACACGTGGCGTGATTTCGTCCCTGAACGGCGTCGCCATCAGCATGATGGACGTCACCACGGACGGGAAATTCTTTTGGGCGAAGAGTTTATCACGTACGCATAATGTTTACTTATCGCGTTATCGCCCGATCGAAATTTTTTTTATCGGAAAAACTCTAACAGAGACTGACCAAGAAGCATAAAAATAAATTGAGAAAGGTTCACGGTACTCACGTATTGTTCGAAATAAGAAGAGTTCTAAGAAGAATTTAGTAGGCCGTCGTTAGGTTTTAACTTGTAATTTTTGAGCTCTTATAAAAACTGTCAGTGTTGTAGAAAAATGTCACGTGTGAATTGAAAAATTATTCGATTAAGACCATATAATATATACATATAATATAAACTGTACATGTTTGAATTACGTGAAATATCTTACAATAAATTTTAAAAATATAAATATGAAATAGATTTTTATACGCTTTTCACAGACAGAAAGCGTCGAAATCGTATCGAAAGGCACATTGAAATTTATAACTCGCACAACGGCTTCATTGTGTTTGCGATATAAGATTTTGCCGAAAATGGCGGCGATAGAGCGAGGGGGACGGTATCGCGTACGTGACTTCAAGAATGACACCCCGTAAAACGAAAACGCAGCGTGACTCATTCGAGAAGGTGGAATAATAAAGAACAGGGATCAAGCAAGACTTTCTCTGCCGCCATAAACGGAGTATACGCGCGCATTTATGTACAGATCATATTAACAGCTTTAATTTTCAATCGCGCCTCGTCTGGCTAATTGAAAGTCAGGTTTTCTTTATAAAAATATCGGAGCATTTCTAAGTTTTGAGATATAACTCTCGAGTTGTGAACGATTTGCAACGTAAGAATTAAGATTTGGCTCTAATTTTTAAGGTGATAATTATGAAGAACATTTGGAGCATTTTCCAAGATATTTTTAATTTTACTACAATCACAGTGTACTTCGTTCGCTAAAATTTCATCGAACAGCTCTTTATTCATAGCAAATGCAAGTTTTTTCATAAATCACTCGAAAGTAACGCGGGATATAACATGAAAAAAAGTAGTTTAGATTTCTGATGAAGTTCAACAAAAATGGGGCCGCACGTGTAATTCCTAGCGGCGCCCATGTGCACCCACGTGGAGAACTCGCATCAGGTACACGCTGTGCGTGCGCGTACGCGTGACACGCACGAATTAGGGCCAGAAATAGTGCACCATATCGCGCACGAACTGCGACGCGGCTTAAAAATAACGCGGGGAAATAGACCATATATGTACGCGTACGGTTTATTATGGCGAAGTCCGCACCGGAAACCGGCGGTAAATAAATAGGCGGAAGAAGCGAGGGCAAAGGTAGAAAGAAAACGTCTCGCTTGCCGTTCTGTATTCGAAAATGTCGGCTTGGAAAAGAACGTGCGCTTGAAGAATCGAAACAAAGAAATGGGGAAAAAAATAAAGCTCAAAATGGTGGTAACAACGAAAAGTGAAAAACGGCTCGGCAAATTGAAAAAGAATATAAAACCTAGCTGGTTTTGATGAAAATATATTTGCTTAGGAAGGAAAATGTGGGGAAAATCGCGAACTCGAGATACTTAGGGAAGCAACGAAATGGAAAATTCCGGAAATCAGTCGAAAACTCGAGAATCAAGAAGGAAAAACAGGCTACTAATTCTGATAATTGAAACAAGGGGAATTAAGAGATCAAAAGATTCTTCTTCAGAGTACCACGCACATATAGGTGTCGCGTTCGAAAGGGAAATCGCGAATTTCGTCGATGCGTGAAAAAGATCGGCGCTGCGAACATTTACCTAGCGAACACGCGTGCGCGAAACTTACGACGTGTCACCAGTGATATTTTTCTTTGCCTGCTTACGTAATTTTCCATTACGTAAACGCGTGACGACACGCGCAATTACGTCGTCGTGAATTCTTCTTTCACTTCGCAAAGGAGCGCGTGCGTAGAGACGCAAGCGAATCCGATTCTTTAAGTCGCGACACGGGTCCAAAAATATAATACAATGAAATAGCAGAATGAAAAGTACAAATCATAACACTCCGTGTACGCGCGTACAATCTCTCTCTTTAGAGATAGTGGACATTTATATAACAATATTTACAAATTAATACTTTAAAATATAAATCAAATATTTCGTAATGGAGATTGTTATATAATTAAACTAGAAATTACCATTGTACGAAATGTCAGACAAACTTTCCCTTCTGCTTCACGGCAAAAGCGTTCTTGCTTCCGTCCTCTCTTGAAAGAATTCATTTCGCTCATTTCTTTTATCTCGTCGGTCGTGTGAGCTGCGCTTGAAAAAGAGAAAACGAAATTTAGAAACGTTCTGT